GGGTTATTTTGCAACTTGGCCATGTGTGTTTTTATTTGTAATATAAAAGATTGTATTAATGTCTGCACTCAATTATAGATTCCCCACAATCATGCCATATTGGGAAATTGGGATTTTGAATATTTGAGTTTTGGCTTCTTTTTCTCTTGAAATTTTATCCACGGAAAAAGGTTCTGTTTGAATCATTTATATCCTTGTCGTTATTGTAACGTCTCGTATATTTTTTTTTGTCATTAGTAGAGTTTCAAGGTGATATGGTTAATTCTTAGACCAAAAAAAAGAAGTTAAAGTTTATCCCTTAGCCTTTGGCTATATACGATTTAATATTACTCTCAAATTTGAACTCTAATTGATTTTAAGGACATAAATAAGACTTTTTCTAATGATAGAGTAATATTAGATGGTTATGTGGTAAAAGAAAATAGTTATTATAAGTTTGGTAACAATGTCTTTACCTTTTATGTTAAACCTCGTGATATTTATGAATTTAGAATATGATGAATAATCTAATACATACTTGTACTTGTTATGTTTTGACATTTCGTCTTTTTACTTCACGTATTTCATCGAGACACTTAAATTGATATCTTAGGTTAGATAGATTATTAGTACACCATTTAATATATTTTCCTATTTTTAGAAGCTTTCTTTAGATTTTCATATACATATAATACAGTCTGAATCTGAAGCTTGCATAAATAGATGTACTAATTTGTAAACAAAGAATTTCCTTTGGCCAACATACATCAAGCTATGTGGCTATGGAAAGTTGACAAAACAAGCTGACATGTGACTTAGTGGTAGATTTAAAGATTATAAAATGGATTTTACAATTGTTGGAAGACCTTTTCCTATTTGATAAATGACGGATAAGATATTCTAAAGTGTAGTTGTACAAGTTAGAGGTAAGCCACTTCAAAATAAGGAATAAATTAGGTACTATCTACTATGGTCAACTTTGATAAGATGATAATCTCACATTATTCCTCTTTAAACATGTCCTAATCATTCCTAGGCATAATCAAAATTTGAAGCTTATGCGATCACGATTATAGTCTTTTAAAGAGAGACGATAAAGGATATTTATGATATTTCGAATGTGATCAGACAACCAAAAATCAAACAATAACAAAGCTATTATGATTTCCAACACCCAGTGCAATATGAAAGAGTGCTTTAGAATTCCTTAGAGGTCGTTTTGTAGCTGGTTAGGAGAAAAGTTATCCAATATTGGGGGCATCATAACTTATATAATATTTGGTAGCCATTAATTATTTTGTACAAAATTCACCATAGCTAATACCATGTTTGGTTGTCATTTTACAATTCTACATAAATAATAGATGTATAAGTTATGAGCCAATTTGTGTATTATTTTTTGCGGGGTAGAAGATGTAATAACTAATACATGTATTAGTAATACATCGATAACATATTGAAATGACAAATCTACCCATATCATTTTACACATAAAGGCTTCCTTCTATAGATTGATATGTATCAAACCCTTTTGAGAACAAGCATGGAGATACTGATGCCTCACTGCTAGTCTCTTCCTCTTCTCAATCTATTATAGACAAAATAAGTAAATAAGTATTTTACTTTAAAATTTATATAATGTATATCAATTTCTAATCCAACAAAGCAAATATTCAAAAAAAAAATCTCAACGCAACTAATTTATGTATAACTAATACCTGCATAACTAATACATGCATAACTCTAACTGGCAACCAAACGACCCCTTAGATCATAAAGTAAAGGTACGTAAGAGAGAGAAGATCTCAACTTACCTAGCCTTAGACCTATTTTTATTGCAAAAAAATATAAAAATTGCTATTGCGACTATACCTCCTGCTTTGTCATGTATACTACGAAGAATGACATGGATCAGTATCATTTTTGATACTAAATTAATAACTTGTATATATTTAATATTTAACCCGTAAGACACACTAGCTCTGCCCCTACTAATCAATATTGTGACTACATGTGAGTTCTTTCCTTATTTGTTTCAATATATTCAACATAATCTCAGCGACAATGATTAACAATGGAAAACTGTAAAATTCTGCACACTTAGCTCATATTCAGCTCAAGCTTTCTACTCTACATTAATAGAGATGTAGAGAATAAGAAGAAGAAGAGCTTCTGTGAAGCTTCGAGAACACAACAGAAAATGAAAATGAATGAGCTTAACTTCTCATTGATTTAATCCTCTATTTATACAAGCAGCTAACTCCTACATCTAACTGACAGCTCATTGATAGCTGTCCAAATTACCACTAACTAACTAAGTACCCTTCCAATAATTAGTTACATAACTAACTCTAGTTTAACTCCTAACTGCTTCTACTTAACCTTGATTCCCAGAACAGCTTCAAGTTTTCCCATCTCGAACACTCTCCCTTAAGCTGGTAGGTGCAAAAATATTGAGCACTCCCAGCTTGGACATCAAGTACTCATGCTGCAACCTCAGTAGCCCCTTTGTCAAGATATCTGCTTGTTGATCTTTTGAACTCATATGCATTATTTTCACCAGTCCTTGTTGTAGCTTTTCCCTGATAAAGTAACAATCTATTTCAATATATTTCGTTCTTTCATGATATATTAGATTTGCAGTAAATTGCAGAGCTGCCTTATTATCACAGAACAATTCAACTGGAAGCTTCGCTTCTGCACCAAGCTCTTTAAACAAGCCTGTCAACCAAATAAGTTCCGCTATTGTCCAAGCCATGCTCATGTATTCTGCTTCTGCAGAGCTTCTTGAAACTATATTTTGCTTCTTAGACTTCTAGGATATAAGAGAATTGCCATGCTTAACAAGAAACCCTGTGACTGATCTTCTTGTGTTAGGACATGAAGCCCAATCAGCATCACAATATGCACTTAGTGTATTGCTCCTTTGACTGCTCATGAGGATTCCCAAGCCTGGTTCCTTCTTGACATATCTGACCACTCTCAATGTTGCTTCCCAGTGACTTCTTTTGGGTTGTTGCATGAATTGACTAAGTTTTTGGACTGCAAAGGATATGTCTGGTCTTGTCAATGTTAAGCATAACAACTTCCCAATCAGTCTTTGATACTTGCCCCTGTCCTCTAGTTGCTCATAACCTTCTAAGCCTGCAATATCATCCAACTCTTTGAGAGTATACTTATAGTTATATTCTAATGGGGTAAAAGCTGGTTTAGAGGCACTTAGCCCCATCTCTTCAATGAGTTCTAGTGAATACTTCCTTTGATTCACCAAAATGCCTCTCTTTGACCTGCTGAACTCCATCCCCAAAAAATACCTCAACTCACCAAGGTCTTTCATCTTGAAGGCCTGCTGCAATTTCTGCTTTGTTTCTTCTATCAACTGGAGATTATTCCCAGTGGTTAGCATGTCATCCACGTAAACAAGAATAACAATGATATTGGTTCCTATCTTCTGTGTAAAAAAGAGAGTGATCAAGAGTGCTTTGCATGAATCCCTGAGCTGTAAGTGCTTCTGTGAGTTAAACATTCCATTGTCTACTTGCTTGCTTCAGGCCATATAAGGATTTAACAAGCTGACATACCACTGGAGTCTTCCCCTAGCTTGTAAAACCCTCAGGCAGTTGCATGTAGACCTCATCAGGTAAGTCACCCGGCAAGAAAGCATTGTACATATCTATTTGATGGATGTGCCACCCTTCCATTATAGCTAATGACATGACTGATCTCACAATGACTATTTTCAAAACTGGGGAGAATGTCTCATTGTAATCAAGCCCCTCCTGTTGATTATAGCCTTTAGCTACCAATCGAGCCTTGAACCTTTCAACCTCACCATTAGCTTTGTATTTGACTTTAAACACCCACTTGCAGCTAATAAGGATCTTCCCATCAGGTAAGGAAACCAACTTCCAGGTGTGGTTATCTTCCAAAGCTTAAATTTCAGCTCATATGGCCTCTACCCACCTTGGATCTTTGGAAGCCTCATGAAATGTTTTAGGTTCCACAATTGAAGTGAAAATTGCTATGTAGTTCTTGTATGATGGCTGTAGAGAAGAGTAATTTACTGAGTGATCAATAAGATAGGGGATGGTTGAAGTAGTGATGGTAGGTGTAGTGATGTAGTCTGATAGCCATCCTGGAGATTTCTTTGTCCTAGTAGACTTTCTGAAATTTTGTAAAGCTTCAGAAGTTGAATTATGGGATAAGTCTTCTTGCTGATCTTCAGAAGCTGCAGGTTGATCTTCATTCTGATGCATCAGTTCATGATGGGAGTGACTTTCATGTTGTTGTTGAGCAACATCTTCATGAGTTTCCTTATGGTGAGCATGTGATTCCTCCTCTTGAATTGTCAAGTCCTCTTCTTGTACTTATGTCAGCTCATTTGCTGTGTAGCCTAGGCTTGGATCACTGTTTGGTTCAACTTCTGAGAACAATGATGAATGTGTAGCTGGCTTGTGCTTGAAAGAAAAAATATGTTCCTTGAAATGAACATCCCTATTTATAAAGAACACACGATTAGTGAGGTCATATAGTATGTACCCTTTGCTGACTGCTGAGTATCCCATCATAACTCCTGCAGCTGCTCTTGCTACAAATTTGTCATGGTTATGGACCTTCTTGGCAAAACAAAAGCATTATATTACTCTTAAATTATCCAGTTTTGGTTTTCTTTTATAAAAAAACTCATAAGATGACTTCCCTCCTAAAACAACTGATGACATTTTGTTAATCAAATATACTGCAGCTAGAACACAGTGTCCCCAAAACTTCAGAGGAATACCTCCTTGAAACCTAACTTCTCTTGCTATTTCTAGAATGTGTCTGTATTTCCTCTCAGCAATCTCATTCTGTTGAGGAGTATAAATACATGTTCTCTGATGTATTATCCCTAAAGATTGAAATAAATGGAAACAATTGGTGTTGATGAACTCTCCACCATTATCAGATCTTAATATCTTGATTGTTTTCCCAAATTGAGTTTTAACCAATGAAAAGAAATTCCTCAGCATCACAATTACATCACTTTTAAGTTTGAGTAAAACAACCAAGTAGTTCTCGAACAATCACCCACAATAGTCAGAAATATTTTATTTCCATCAACTGTAGGTACATTGTAAGGTCCCCACACATCAACGTGTAACAACTCAAAAATATCAGAAGACCTACTTGTACTGTTGTGAAATGGTAGTCTAGTATGCCTTGCTAAAGGGCAGATTGTACAGCTATCTATTGCTACTTTACATTCTTCTTGTCCCAGACCTAAGATCTGCTTTATGGCTACTGCTGATGCATGCCCAAGCCTTCTGTGCCACAATCCAATATTTAAATTCTCCTTTATTCCAGTCAATCCTCTTGCTATAGTGTTGTTGTTATTGATAGATTTTTGAAGGAACAGATAAAGTCCTTCACTTTCTCTACCAATCCCCTTCACCATTCCACTGTAGAGGTCCTGGAATATACAGAAATGTGGAAAGAATCATACTGAGCATTGCAGCTTGGTAATTTAGAGACTGACAGAAGATTATACCTAAATTCTGGTATATACAGGACATCATCTATTTTAATGTTTATCAGCCAATCTACAGGATCCAAGATGTGTCACAACTGTAGTCTCATCATTTGGCAAATATATCCTTTTTCTTTCATTCTTATCACTTTTCCTTTTTGTACTCAACATGTTTAAGTCAGCTACCATATGATTTGTGGCTCCAGAATCAACAATCCAATATTTTATGTGTGCATCTGCTAGAAAAGCATTAATAGTACCAGCCATGTTGGCCATTCCAACTGAATTTGAACTTTCACATATGCCATCCTTGCTGAGCAGCTTCAGTATTTGATTATATTGTTCTTGTGTGAAGTACGGTCCTTAGATCCCATATGTGGTGTTGAGTTTGTCTGCTCCTCAATCAGTATTTTCCAATGCATCATGCCTTCCTTGATCCTCCACTACAGCATTCTGAGCAGCTCCAACACCAGGCTTCTTTCTATACTTAAAGTCAGCAAGATATACTATCAACTTGTAGCATCCTTCACGAGTGTGCCCTTTGAGTTTGCAATAATCACAGTACAAGTAGTAGTTCTTTTTCCCTTTCTGAGCAGGATTATTGGCCCTTGTTGTCATGAGTGCTTTCACCTCTCCAGTATCAGCATTTACCATGCTCCTCTGGCTTTCCCTTTCCATCAATATCGAGTAGGTTTTGTTGATTATAGGCACTGACACTATCATTAGAAGCTGGCTCCTTGCCTGTTCATAGGACTCATTGAGTCCTATTAGAAACTGTAACAGCTTCAGCCTCTCCATAGACACTACAAATTCACGTGATTTGGCACAATCACATCCAGGAATTGGAGCTAGCCTGTCAAACTCAACCCACAACAGACGCAACTTTGAGAAATAAGCAGAAATAGAACTGGTTCCCTGAGTTATAGTAGCAATTTCCTTTTGTATTTGAAAAATCCTAGAGCAATCAATTTTGTTAAATCGTTCCTTCAAATCTCCCCAAACTGAGGAGGCATTTGTCGAGTACACTATTCTACTGTACAGTTCCTTCGACACATAATTCATGATCCACGATAGAATAATAGCATTGCGTCTCCCCAAGAAATCAACTAAATTTGGCCCAAAATCCTCTCTTTTACAGGTGCCGTCTATGAACCCTAGTTTGTTCCTTCCTAGGATTGCAATTCTCATAGCTCGACTCTAAACAAAGTTATTTTTTGGCCCAGTCAATTGAAGAGAAACAAATAATATACCTGAAGTGTTAGTAGAATGCAGGAACAACGGATGATTGTGACTCAACTTTTTCGGCTCAGTATCGTCAACCGCCATATTTTAATTTGTGATTGCTCCGAAGAAAATGAAATTTGAAGAATTGGATCGAAGATACAACTGCACTAACAATCGTGAAGCTCTGATACCATGTGAAATTCTGCACACTCAGCTCATATTCAACTCAAGCTTTCTACTCTACATCAATGGAGATGCAGAGAAGAAGAAGAGCTTCTGTGAAGCTTCGAGAACATAACAGAAAATGAAAATGAATGAGCTTAATTTCTCATTAATTTAATCCTCTATTTATACAAACAACTAACTCCTACATCTAACTGACAGCTCATTGACAGCTGTCCAAATTACCACTAACTAACTAACTACCCTTCCAATAATTAGTTACATAACTAACTCTAGTTTAACTCCTAACTACTTCTATTTAACCTTGATTCCCAAAACAGCTTCAAGTTATCCCATCTCGAACAAACTACACCAAATTATAGTTTGTTAGATTCAATTAGAACTCGATTATTCAGAATTAGCCAAAGTTTGTTACATTAATTCCCACTAATAGGGGTGTACAAAGGAAATCGATAAACTGCACCAAACCGATAATCCAAGTCAAATCGAGAAAAAAAAACCCGACTATGGTTTGATTTGATTTGGTTTGGTGTTAGAAAAAAAAACCTGACCATAATTGGTTTGGTCTGGTTTTAACTAGAAAAAGTCAAACTAATACCAAACCAGCCTGACATTGCATATATACAAGTTTTAAAAATATTTTATACATAAAAATAATTATTGTAATGTAATTTATAAATATTTTTTAAACTTTTTCATAACTCACTCTTTTAATGTATTATTTTAAACTAGGACTTAGAATTTTTGAATGGTCAAATATGTTTTATAGCCTATAAAAGTTAGTAACTCAAATAAAGCCCAAAGCAAAATAAATCAATACTAATGCTAAAAAAAATCAATCAATACTAGGAAGTAGGAATGACAATAGTATTATATATTTATTATTTTAGTTTTGCATTGGTTTAGATAGTGAAAATGCATAACCTATTTTTATCATTATTTAGTCATGTAATTAATACTTAGTACTTATTTTAGCATGACTTAGTAATTTTAGATTATGTTTATTTTCATTATATCTTATTAATTAACAATATTTATTTTATGCGACTTGTTGAGTATTTTAGTATAATCATGACTCATCTCACATTATTTTATATTATTTTCTTGAAAAACATCTTATATAGTTTTATCCTGCTGTCACGACCCGAAATTCTCACCTTCGGGACCGTGATGACGCCTAACATTTCACTTGCTAGGCAAGCCAACGTTAGAATTATTTTAATCATTTTAACAATTTATTTTAATTAAGTAGTAAAGAAACCAAACAACTGGAATAATGTCTGAATGAAAGTAAACAAACCAAAATGATAACAATGTCTAAAAATCAATCCAGAACTGGAGTCACAAGTGCACGAGCTTCTAGAATAATACAAACAAGGGTATGAACAAAATAAAGTTGTCTGAAAGAAAGCACACAACTAAGATAAAATAGAAGAGGACTTCAGAGCTGCGAACGCTGTGCAGCTATACCTCAAGTCTCCTTTGATAGATGAATCCGAGCAAATCTACAGTACGCCGCTGGGACCAATTCCGGTATCTGCACAAGAAGTACAGAGTGTAGTATGAGTACAATCGACCCCATGTACTCTGTAAGTGCCGAACCTAACCTCGACGAAGTAGTGACGAGGCTAAGGCAGGCCGCTTACATATAACTGTACGCAATAATAATAATAATAATAATAATAATAATAATAATAATAATAATAATAATAATAATAATAACAATAGAGGTAAAATCGTTAAATCATATCAATAACTGAATTCAATTCAACAGTCATAAACCTTCAATTAATTTCCGTTGCGGCGTGCAACCCGCTCCAACAATATAAACTTAGAATAAAATTCATTGCGGCGTGCAACCCGATCGAACAATATAATCTTTCAATTTAATTCTGTTGCGGCGTGCAACCCGATCCAACAATATAATCTTTCAATTTAATCCGTTGCAGTGTGCAACCCGCTCCAACAATATAAACTTTCAATAAATCCGTTGCAGTGTGCAACCCGCTCCAACAATATAAACTTTCAATAAATCCGTTGCGGCGTGCAACCCGCTCCAACAATATAAACTTAACATAAATCCGTTGCGGCGTGCAACCTGCTCCAACAATATAAACTTAACATAAATCCGTTACGGCGTACAACCCGCTCCAACAATATAATTTAACAATTCTTAAATGTAAAAATACTCCAATAAATATCACATTTAATAAGAAATTATTAGGCAACAAGGCATACAAAAATTATGATTTATTTAGGAAACAAGTAATGACAAGTAGCAATTAATTGTGGAAATCATGGAGAAAATAAGCAATTTAATATTTAATATGCTAAATGTCAAGTAGCAATTAAGACACATAATTCAAATAAGCATGTAGCAATTATAGCATGAATTCAAGACATAATATTGGACAAGGAATATGAGAGAAATAATTAATATAATAATCAATTCATGATTTAAAATAATTTATGATTTTTAGATAAATATACAAACAATCAATTTGACGACGTATAGGCACTCGTCACCTCGCCTATACGTCATTACACATGAAATTCACTTAACAAATAATTCAAGGGTTTTATTCCCTCAAGTCAAGGTTAACCACGACACTTACCTCGATTTGCAACCAACTCCAGATTCCAATAAACCTTTACCTCGCGAATTGGTGTCTGAATGCCTCGAATCTAGTCACAAACAATTCAATATACTCAATACGGATTATAGAAACCAATTCTATGTGAAAATATTAAATTTTTCGATAAAAATCTGAAATTCACTCAATAATCGCCAGGGGAGCCCATGTCTCGGATCCCGACAAAAGTTATAAAATATGAAAGCCCATTGAACCACGAGTCCAACCATACCAAAATTACTAAATTCCGATAATATTTCGGCCATTAAATCTTCAAATTTAACCAAGAGCGTTTTTAAAATTCTCCAACTTAAATCACCAATCAAATGCTAAAAATAGTGATATATTCAGGTAATTTGACCAAAATTGAGTTAAGAACACTTAGCTCGTTACTTCCCTTGAACATCTCCCGAAAATCACCTCTCCCCGAGCTCCAAATCGGTAAAAATAGAATTTTCAGAATTTAAACTCACTGCCTAGGCTTTTCTTCTTCGCGAATGCGGAAGCTTCCTCGCGTTCGCGAAGCACATTTTTGCGCAGCCTAGAATTTCTCTTACGCGAATGCAAGCCTAGCATAGCGAACGAGATGCTTCACAAGCGGCTCAATCACGAACGCGTCCTCTCCACTGCGAACGCGAAGACCAAAATCACCCAGGCCGACTTTCCCTTACGCGAACGCGAGGCCCCAATCGTGAATGCGTAGGCTTGCCCCTCGAACCTTCGCGAACGCATGCCCTCAGTCGCGAATGCGAAGTACAAAATGGACCAGTCCAAATTTCCTCTTCGCGAACGCATGAGTTCCTTTGTGTTCGCGAAGAACAACATCAGTACGAGCAACCAGCGCAGCAACTCAACCAAACTTGGTTCGAAACTACCCCGAAACACACCCGAAGCCCCCGGAGCCTCAACTAAATACACCAACAAGTCCTAAAACATCATACGAACTTAGTCGAAACCTTAAATCACATCAAACAATGCTAAAATCACGAATCATACCCCAATTCAAGCTTAATGAAACTTAAGAATTTTGAACTTCTATATTCGATGCCGAATCCTATCAAATCAAGTCCGCTTGACCTCAGATTTTGCATGCAAGTCATAAATGACATAACAGACCTATTCAAATTTTCAGAATCAGATTCTGACCCCGATATCAAAAAGACAACTCCCCGGTCAAACTTCCAAACTTAAATTTCTATTTTAGCCATTTCAAGCCTAATTTAACTA